TCTTTGGATTTTCTGCCAGGTTAGCAACTCAAGGTTAGATCATTCTGAGGGACTCTGTATAGCAAGAGATCCTTTTAAAAACAAATGTTATATGACAGTTTTGAAAAAAAAAAGTAAAGGTAGTAATTAATCCATTATTTATGTGAATGTGAATAACCTTAAACACTGAGTGATGCCTCATCACATTGTAACCTTAAGTTGTGACTGCTGAGAGATGTTGCACACCTTACCTCAAGCTGGACAGTTGTCTAGATGTATAGGACTATATACTAGTGTTCACTTGTTCATGACTTTGTTTGAGACATCCATTTATCCTTACAAGTTCTGTGTCCTCCCTAGGTAATATAGGGCTGTCAACTCCCTTTGTTAAGAGTTCACCCAGACGAAAGTTTGATCTTGCATTAATTTTCAATGAGAATGGCTTATGCATTTTTTTCTGAAAAGGTCACTAGGAAATGGGCCTTTGGTTTTACAATTAACAGCTGAAGATGTCTTTAGGCAGCATAATAGAACTGGCAATCCTGAATTAAAACCCATTCATGCAAAAATTTCACCAATCATTCGCAGTTTGTTTGGTGCTATGTTCCCCCTCCCCCGTGTCATTTACGCCATGGCCGATGATGGATTGCTCTTCCGGTTTTTATCGGAGGTTAATAAGAAGTTCAAGACGCCGGCCATTGCAACTATTATCTCGGGACTCTTTGCAGGTGAGTTGCAGTGTGCTTGGTTGAATCTTTTCCAATTTTGTTGCATCCTTTCTGTGTACTTTGCTTAATTAGTAATAAAGGATGAGATAGTATTAAAGTAGTGAATCCTTGGGGCAATTACTGAGATTTATTCTTCAGTTTATGACAGTTTGTGCAGTTTTCATAATGACATATTGATATTTATAAACGGATGGTTGTTTCATCATATTCTCTCTTTTTACCTTTACAAATTCTTTATTTGGTCAATATTTGGTATTTGCCTGACATATCTGTTTCTTAGTGATTTATGCATTTGTGGATGTAGCGTTTACTGCAAATGCTTTTCCAGGTCTAGAACACTCATAGCATTCACAGAAAGACTATATGCTGAATTCAATTATCAAACTGTCACGCTTATTCTATCCTTTACCTTTTTATGACGGTCCCTGAAAAACCAGAAAGGGAGTGAACACACTCACCTTGACTCCATTCCGTTAATGTTGACAACTGGGTAAACTTTTGACTTGACCTCGGCTGACTTAATTTCGTCAAATATCATTTGTTACCAATTTCAGTCAGTAGGTTTTATAACAGAACATATCCTATTTGATATATTATCATTGAAGTGAAATATTATCACTGAAGTGGAAAGTGGCTTGTATCTAGGATGTACTTATTTTAGCAGGACATTCTACAAAATTGAACAAATTTATTATGGATTAAATGTTGGTAATGAGTATTATACTTATCTGAAAATATTTTAGTATTAGAGGTCTTGAATAGGGATAAAATGTAAGTAAATAGGCCTTATCTACCAAGTACCAAATTGTGACCTTTATCTCACCTCATGTTCTCTCACATTACTTTCATTCTTCTCATCTGTCTTCTTCATTATTCCTTTGTTATTGGCAGTGTATTTCATTAGTATATATTTTTTCCCCCCCAGGGATCATGGCAATGATTTTCAATTTAGATGCGCTTGTGGATATGATGAGTATTGGCACACTTTTGGCCTATTCCATAGTTGCTGTTTGTGTTATGCTGCTAAGGTAAGACAGAACATTATCAGCATAGTGATATGGCAGGACTTGTCCTTTTGTTGGGTTTGGTATAATTTACTCTCTTTTTGGGTTTAACTTTTGCTTGATGTCTGGGTAATTATTTATCCAGTTACCAGTATTGCATGATTCCAATGGAGAATTTAATTATCATTTAAGTAGTAGTGAATTTATGTGGCATTGAATGAGCTTTCTTCATGTGGTATACTTATTATTGCTATTGTTATATGCATAATTTTCAAGTGTAAACAAGATAAAATGATGGGAGTGCTAACTATGTAGATATATTGGGATACTTTGTATGTTGCAGTAGTGGGTCAAACATAGTTGACAGTCATGTTTTTGACTCAAGCCTGGTGCAAAAAAGTCATATGCTGCATACTCATGCAGAGATAGTCTTCCAAAATCTGCATGTAACTCATTGTATTGTGCATTATTAAAAGAAGACCACTAGAAATAAGAAGCCATGGTAGTGGGTTAACAGGGCAAATGCATTATTTAATGTAAGTGCTAATTAATGTCAGAATCAGCCTAAATATGAGGTTATTTACGTAAAGCATGGAGCAGGTTTTCACTGACCATTTATGAAGATATTTTTATGCAGTTTTATTTTATTACTAGTTTAGCAAGTCTGATCAGACAGGAGTTGGACTATTGTATTTTATGAATCTGAATCTTTAGATAAAAAAGACAAATATAGTTCATCAAATGTACTGGATTGTCTTGTAGGAAGCATGCATAATGGTTGAATATCAA